GCGGGGCCCGTCCGAGCGCGGGGCGGCCTCCTTTCCTCTCCACTTCGCGCCTCCGCCAAGCGAGGGTGGGGACCGCGGCCGCCACCGACCTCCGCGACCCTCGCCGTCCTCCGCGGTGTCCCGCCCGCTGTCGCGCGCTCGGCTTGGGCTCCCCGACTTCGGGCGGGCACCCGGAGCTCGCGGGCTTGGGCTGGCGCGCGGCGGGAGAACTTCTGCGAGGACGCGGGCCTGTGCGCCGCCCTGGGCGGGTGTCGGGGTTGCGCACAAACGAGTGGCCGCCGCGGGAGTGGGCAGCGCGGTGCCCGCGCCCGTCCAGGGCTGCCCCCAGTGGAAGCCGCCGAGGACCGCGAGCTCTGGCCGGGCAGACCCCAGGGCTGCTCCCTCCCGCCCGGCTCCGGTCTCCCGCCATCCCGGGACATTGTGCATGTTTCCTGGGGTCTCCAGCCCGTGTGGGGGCTCAGGATCCCTCGCTGGGGACCGGGAGGCCGCCCCCGGAGACGGGAGTGACCCCTGCTAGTGCCAAACAAGACAGCCGCTTGGACTAGGGAGCTGGCTTGGCTTTTCCTTTTAAACCGAAGTGTGTCTGTGCGCGAGGCCTTCCTCCCAACAGCGGAGGGGTTTAAAGCCAGCGGCACGGGAGACCTCAAGGCTAAGAGGACTTGCACCTCACAGGTCCAGGCCAGGTGCCCGGCTCTGGAAGTGCTGGTTTTCAGCCCCCAAACTGCTGCACAGTTGGGTGATCCTAGAGCCCCGCACCGTGCCGCCTGGCGCTTAGATTTGCGTAGAGATACCTAAAAATGGGGATCGGGTTTCCCAAGACTGCAGCAATTAGTACAAGCGCTTTCTGTGTGGAAGCCTCCCACCTTACCTGAAAAACGAGCTCTAGGACAAGTCTGTGCTGTCACGGCGGTGCCGCGGGTTCTGAGTGGAAAAACCTGAGCCAGCTTGGCTAACACCAAGTGAGTTTGTTTGTGTGTCGCACGTCCCCAGCAGCAGCAGTAGGGAAGCAGATCAGGTGCGGAGTTACGTCCTTTACCTGGTTGGACTTGCATGCAGGGGGTGTGCTTCTGGGTTTTGGTTTTCCTTTCCACCCCAGCCTCTCCTGGAAAGGTACGTTATATAAGTTTTTCCCAGCCCCAGCCTGGAAAGAGAAGCCCATGAACAGTGGTTTGGGTTGTGCACTTTGGTGTCCCACTTCAAAAGTAGTGTTAGTTACGTAGTCTCTTTCAGTCTGATTTGTAAGACAGGGTGCCACTGGTCTCTATCTCCAGCGCTTTAATGAAGGCGTGTTACGTTGTCTTCGGAGAACCCTTTGACTGGATCTCACCCCCCGTAAGTGTGCACAGTTACTAGACATTTTATTTCTCTGCCCCACCTGCAGACTGCTGGATAATTTATAAAATGGCAGCTTGAACATTCAGGAAATGGAGAGGGCAGTTTAAAATTTTAGAAAAGTACCGGATTTATGATTTATGTACGAGTGTGAACGTGTGTGTGAATGTGTGGAGAATTCCACCACCGCATACGAGCAACGACCACCGGTAATTATTGCTTTTGGTGCTGACGTTACAGTTGCGGGGTGCTGGCCAGGCGGTCTGAAATATGTCACTATCTTTTCAATTTAAAAGAGAAATTGCACTCCAAGTAGTTGTGTTTATTGGCCTTGGCTTGGAGAGGGAACCAAGCCCTGAAGTATGTGTCTTTCACCAAGTCTGATTTTAATTAAAGTATGACCCGTGTGCCCCAGGGGGATCCGGTCATTCGCTTGGCATCTGCGGATGTCCGAGGCCGGCAGATAAGCCCTGCGGAGTGCTGGGACCCAGCGTGAGGCTCTGCTTTATTTTTAAACTGCAGTGAGAGTGGGCGCTCAGTTCATTCGGGGAGATCTGCTCATCACGCCATTGACTCATTGCTAAAATTTGCAAAATTTTTTTAAAAAAATGCTTCCATCTTTAACACAAACCCTTCCAAGTGACTGTGCTGTCTCTCTCTCTTTTTATTTCTTTTTTTTGTTGTTAATGTGCACCAGGCGTGCAGAATTGGACTCATCAGAATCCTAGCTTATGCCACACATGCCTTCTGATTTTTACTAATTGTTCCACGGGGACCCAGAGCCGGCGGTGCGTGGTGACTTAGAACAACGGCAGAGGGTTTGGTGTTCTTATGAATGGCTTCATGCCTGTGACACGGGGCTCTGAGGCAGGGAGGGCTTAGTTGAAGAAATCGTTGTTGGTCTTTACTTCCCAGCGTGGAGCGTCCTGCACAGGGAAGCTCCGGGCACACCGTTCTGGGCCTGCAGACAGGGGCCGGATGGCTTCGTCCGCTGTACCCGCTCCAGGGGCCGTGAGGAGTAAGAGGGTTCATGCAGGTGGGGCATTTCGAACCGGGCTCCTGAACACGGCCCGCGTCCATGCCCAACAAACGTTACCATTAACTCACTTCTCTAAACCTTCTGCCTCAGGCCTGGCGCTATTTTTATAACATGAAAACAGCTATGTGAAATTTTAACATTTCCCCCAAATCTGAAAAGGCTCCGTCACTTAAAAAGCCCTGCCAAATACGCTTGCAAGGAGAGCACAGTAATTAGGCAACGTCACCGTGTCTTTGAAATGTGAAAGGGATTGCGATATTAATACATTCAACAAATGAATTCTCTTAGGTCTCAATTACATTTTCCTTTCTTATTAGAAACTTAAAAAAAAATGAGTAACACACGAAGCCTGTTACAGATTAAATGGGAAGGCAGTGTGCAAGTTATAGTGCATTATTACAATTATAATTAGCTTAAAAATTTTTAATGCATTTCAGAGTCCAGAAGGAAATGTAGACAAATGGGTGATGGAATTAATGTGGCCCCGCTCCTCCCTTTTACCCCAGTGAGCGTGACACGCAATAGTGAACAGTGCATCTGTGTAACAGTTCCTCAGAACCAGTGCTCGCTGACTGACTTCGCGTAGAAGGGTTTTGTTGTTTGGGGGAGGACACCCACGATCCCGGCCTTGAAAGGCCTCGAGTTCAGTGCCAGCACCTTGGCAGTGTGCACTACCAGTCAAGTTTCTAGGTTTATTTATCTCCATAAGAGGAGTTTGAAAAACCCGCCACAGGCCAAGTCCTCCAGCCTTGCCGTCCTGGCAGCCTCCCCTTATCCGAGCCGTGAGCTGCGTCTGTCCAGGGCCCTCCGCGCCCTGGGTGATGTGCGGTCCCTCCTCAGCCAGTTCAGCGTGCGGCCCCACTGGTCCTCACGCAGGGCCTGAACCTCGCCAGCTGGGCAGGAAGAGAATCCACCGAGCCTTTCTGCATCCACTCCTCCTGCATCCGTGCTTACCTGGAGTGAACCAAAGGCCCGGTCTCCTAGGGACCTGTGAAGCCGGCATCCCCTCGCTGGACCCCCGGGGAGGCCTGGCCAGTGCAGACCCGCAAGTGGCCTGCTGGATGTTGTCCTAGCACCGGCTGGTCCCACAGGGCCGGAGCAGGGAGCTGGGAGCCGAGTTGAGGGCGGCAGGGTTGGGCTGAAGCCGACTTCCAGCCAGTGCCTCCATTTCCTGCCAAGCCTCTCGAGAATCACTCCTAGTGTCGAGTAAATGTTTGGTTTATTATGTCGTTTTATTGGGTATCATAAACGTGCTTAGCTGTGAGCGCCTGGTTGCCATCCTGAAACAAGAAAGGCTTTTGTCTTCCTCTGATGGCTCAGCATCTCGTCCGCTTGCTGTAGGTGAAGCCCAGGGTTGCACACGTTGGGATTTTCCCTGTCCGAGGGGCGAGGAGCTGCTACAGGGACTTTTCCTAGGTCTCCAGGAGTTGGTCAGTAGCCAGGAACCTGCTTCGCTTTTCAGGTTCGTTGGTTGCTAAGGGGTGGTATATCCTGGGTGCTTTCTTGTAGAACAGGCTCCGTCACCCCACACCCAGGTCCTCGTGCTGGACCCAGGGTCCCCGCTGCCTGGCCGAGCTGACTTGCGCCATCGCGGCCCTGCAGGATTCCGTAATCGTCTTAATCACCTCCGTCCCCAGCAGCCCAGGGGCACCCTAATTTCCCAACACATCAGGCTTTCACTGAGCTGCAGAGGCCGCTGGCCACAGTTCCCGCACTCCTCACACTCGGCCCTCAGCTCCTGCTGGGGTACTTTGCTTAGAGACCTCAGATTTGGTCTCTTCTGAGGGGAGAAATCACTGCAGAGGAGAGAAGCAGCAGGCTTCTCCTCCCATGAAGACCCCAACTGAAACCCTGTAAGTCGAGAGAGAGCTAAGTCTGGGACGGGAAGGAACTGCCACAGCCTCTTGCTGAGGCTCCCTGTGGAGGGCGAGGCGTGCACGGTCAGCCTGAGTCTCAGCCCGATTGGGAAGGGGTCAAAACCAGCGGACCAGGTCCGGATCGAAGTCAGTCCTCTCACAGGCTGAGGCAGAGTCTGCCGCCCGCCCCAGGACTTCTGCGGTGTGTGCGGTAGAGGTCAGCTGTGGACGCAGAATGGCTGCAGTGTGAGCGCCTCCCCGGCTGCCTTCAGCAGGGGTGTAGATTTCTCATCCTAAAGGGGGGAAACGGAGGAGGCGCTGGGGACTCAGATCTGCTTGGAGGAAAAAAAGGTGCTGGGTTAGGCCCCTGCGTGCCGGTGTGCAGGGTCACCTCCTTCTGCAGTCAAGTCTGAGAAGCGAGGCCCGCTGGGGGGCCCTTTGTCCCCGATGTAAAAGCACAGTGTCTCCGAGCAGCCACAGTAGCGTCCAGGCGCCCCAAGCTGCAGAGCCTGGAGTTTAGTAAACATCTCGGAGAGAAGCCTAGGACAGCTGTGCAGCGTGTGTCGGCAAGGGGTGAGATTCATTCTTCTTAATCACCAAAGTGAAGCCACCCGTCATCCCAGCACTTGGGAGGCTGAGGCAGGAGGATCCCTGGGAGTTAGAGGCCAGCCCGAACTGCATAGTGACACCCTGTCTCAAAAACAAAAAAACGAAACGAAAAATGCGATACAGATCCTGTTGCTAGGAAACAGCCCATGGTACCCATGCCCGTGCACGGGCATCTTTCTCTTCACTTCCCTGTCCTTGGGGTAGGGAAGGGCAGCTCTGGGGGTGCCGTTAACACCGCTGACTGCTGGTCGCACAGGGGCGCACTCAGTACGGCCTGGAGCATGCGCAGTACCCCCAGCGCTAACGCAATCCATCGGGCGCAGAGAAGGGAGCAGTAGGACCCCGGGGTGCAGAGGGACGGCGGGACTTGCTGGCCAGTGTGGGGCCCTCTGAGGGGCAGGATGCGGGCGACAGTGGCTGCAGGTCCCTTGCAGTGACATCGGGAGAGTGAGGCGCTGGAGGATGCGTTCATCGGTGCCCCTGGTGCCCTCCCTGCTCCGGTGGTCTGACCGTGTGGTGCTCGGGGTGAAGGCGGTGGCCGTGACCTCGCTCCTCTGCCGTTGCTTCTTCACGGAGGCCAGAGCCTTCCAGTGAGGCTGGCTCGGCGCGGCCTTGTCCGCTAACCTGATTCCCTCCCGGGGTTGGGGTTCCGATTCAGGAATCGCTGGTGAACTCACTCTGGGGCGCACACTGAAGAATCCAGAGCAAACGGAGGTCCTGGCGCCCTGCCCGGCCAGCTCGGCCAGCTCGGGTCCATTCGCTTTCCCTTCCCTTCCTCCCCGCCGTGATAAACATCGGCTGGAGCCGCCCACGCGCGACAGGGCAGAAGTTACCCTGCCCACGCTGGGGCGGCGCCTGACCTCTGGACTGGGCTTCTCCAGGTGCAGGGGGAACGCACCGCCGGACCCAGGCCGCTGCTCTGTTCTCCCGTGTCCCTGGGAGAGCCGGGCAAAACAACCCGACAGCCTCTTCATTGAAAAAGCACAGAGAGGGCAGTTGTCTGCTCCCTGAGGAATCTCGCAACCTTGTATCAAAGGGAAAACCCACACAAACTTTCACAATGTCTGTGAGCAGCAGTTTGTACATCCAACCAAGGAAGTGGATTTTGCACAATTCTCCATTCTTTCATGAAAGATGGTGCTCTATCTGTACTGTTCTGTACCTGCTTTAAAGTAGCTGGAGCTCTGCGGCCACATAGAGAGAGGAAATGTCATAGAAAAATATTGAGGTGAATGAACGTTTAGGTTTTTTTTTACTTTGTTACAGTAGAAGCC